GCGAAGTAGCTTATATCACAAGTTGACAATCTACTACTTCCTGTTATACACAAAGTGTGATAATCAGCTAAGTGTGTTTTAGTGAATGAAATATAATTTCAATTAGCTTGACACTCTCAACAATCAATGTGGTGCATCCTCATTATCAACGGCACTGATATCAATATATTCTCCAGTTCCAGGCGGCATTATATAATTTTTTTAAAATTCAAAAATATCCCCTGCGCGATCCATACATTTTATGATAATAAATTAACCTAATCGTGGTTTCTTGAAGTTTACGAAAAACATTCATAGCAACTTCCATGTACTCCATTTTAAAACTTTCATGCAAACTTCACTTGATAAGCAGAATTGGGATCGTTGAAAGGTTGGATTCTTTATATACTTGCCACCAATGGCGAATTTATGTAGTTTACCGTCCTAGGCAAATATTTTTTTACCCCTCCCATCCTGGAAAATTTAATGCATTTTGAGGTTTATGCTACAAGGCAGACAACTTAAAAATAATTCCAAATAAATTCCATAGTAGTTTATTTTAAAACTGGTTTACATCATACATTGTATTCTAATGCAACTTTATGGTTGATTTCGTTGAAAGTTTTAGTTTGTAAATTTGTTGATAATATCACAATCTATAAGAATTAAATATGTTTTTCCATGCTAAAATCGAAAGTGAATTTAATCTTTCGCCCATTGTTGATGTTAAGTACAATTTGACAGGCTTCAAAATCGAAATCGATCTTTCAGCCGAACAATTTGAAATTGATGTACCCATATACAGTTAGTTAAAAGGGAAATGGTCACCAGTTCTCTTCTTCATTCAATAATCACTCTGATTCCAGTTCTAGGCGTCAGAAAATTAAGAGGAAAAAATAAATTTATTTTGACTAGATTGCTCTCTTTATTTACCAAAACTTATTTTCGGATGGGACACAATTCTCCGTTTTTGAAACGAATTGTCGGCGTCTAGTGTGGAGGAAAAAGAACACAAAGTTCGAGACGCAGAATTTGATTCCTACCATAAAACACGGATGTGGTTCGGTCTTAGTACGGAGGTCTACGAGTGCTATGCAGTACGAGGACCTGGGAATTAATATTTCATAGATATTATAATGAACCAATATGACTACATTGACATTTTAAGAAATAATTTGAGATTCAGTGCTGCTTCAATGAATTTAAGACAAGCGTACATTTTTCAACACGACAATGATTCTTAGCACACTGCTATCAATGTGAAACTGGTCATTGTACTTTTTGCCAAAATAACTGCACTCACCTTCTCAAATCTCCAGACCTAAATCTCATAGAACATTTATGCAAATTTCTAAAAAAAATTAAAATAGAAAAATTGCAAACATAACAGAATTGCCGACAGAGTTATGAGAAAAATTGAGTAATATTTCTCCTGAAATTGTGCAAAATCTTGTGAATTCCATGCCAAGACTTTTTAACAAATATGTTTATTGAACTATAAGTGTCCAAAGACTGTTTTGCACCCTATTTTCGGCGCAGTGTTTCATGTTTTTATCGGTACCAAGGTATTTGTTTGGGTTTGTGAAACTATTTTTGTAGAAATACAGGAAGAACTTAATTGTTGTTAAGATTGTTTTATCTTACTTATGTTAAATCTCTGTGCAAAGTTTCCACAGACCTCCCACAAAAAAAGATTCGTAAGTGCCCACTCTCTTTTTACACTAACTGTACATGCAAAAGGCGATATCAAATTTGGAAAGTGTAAAGGTCAATTCTTCGAAGAAACGGGAACATTTTTCTCCAAAGTTTTAACAAAAAAAAAAAACGATGCACCGATTATTTCCCGCCCCTCCAATTCTCGCCGCCCTATGCAAGTGCCTATTCATAAATCCGCCATATCTTGCCACCATATGATTTCGAAAATAAGAGGGCCAGCAAGCATACCGCAAAGGAGAACAAAAATCAAACAAAAGCCGAATCCATCTCTTGTGTCCAGCTTTTGTCCACCCCTGCTGCGTCGGTGCACGGGGTTGCGGTGAATTGGTTAACGCCTTGCGACGGGGCCGGCGGCCTGTCAATGGGTGCGAGCAGCCGGCGTATGCGACGCGCCAATTCAATGCGATTCCGATTACCGATACTTATCTCAAGGCCGCGAACGCCGCGCGGGCCCGTCGCGTCGCAGCAGCGCATGCGCACGCGCACAAAGCCTGCGTTTCGCCGGGGCGCGGCGCGACGGAGGACGGAGGCCCGGCCAGGCCGCGATAACGCGCGGATAGGAAGGCTGCCATCCTCTGCTACATTTCATATGCACACCAATAGAGACTTTTGGGACACCGAAAAGCGCAGAGTTTACCTTAGCCGCTAAGGCCTAGCGTGTATCATGTTTGAGCCTCTGATCAGGTGCAGGTCGAGTTGCGCATGAGCAGACTTTCGAAAGTGGTTCAAAAATAGTGGTCATTTGACAGAGAAGAGGTGCAGCTCAACTCGACGTTATACGACTATTGGTATTCAATTGAGAGGCAGTAATCCTGAGAGTCCTTTAGCTGGAAGGCATCGCTAGGCCTTAGCATTGGTTTGGTATCGATACGCGATTTAAAATGCAGACAAAAATAAGCATTATCTTAATTTTTAAACTCTCGAATAATTACCCCATTAGTAAAACGCGATTATAACGTAGTTTCTTCCTCTAAGAATCTTAGTTACATCAATAGCAAGGTATTATCGATTTATCTACACCGATACTGATAATACGGAAACCGAAAACATCGAGGTTTCCAAATTTCGAAACGACTATTGGTATTCAATTGAGAGGCAGTAATCCTGGAGTCCTTTAGCTGGAAGGCATCGAGAAGACGAGAGAAGAAAACTAAAATAATGCGGACTAAAATACCCGGGTATTAGAGACGTACCAAGGCGGAATGGAATAGGCATAAACAGAAACAGGAGAACAGAACGAACAAACATACTTTTATACATTATAACTTGAAATAACCAAATGAAAAAATACTCCTATGGGGGAAGAAAAAGACAAAGACAAACGGAAACATAAATTTCACGCGTAATCACGTGTTTTACAAACGTAAATATCAGAAAAATACAGTCGGATAACAACAACGGAAAGAGAGGGGAGGCCCAAATGAAGCCAGCTAAGACAGACCACCCAAGCAGTAACGGCAGGTGGGACGGAGCGGAAAAGTCAGACGTGGGAAGAGGCAGTACAAGACGCAACGACGAGGGCAACGGGGACGAGGAGGTTGGAGGCAGTCGCACAGCCGATCAGACGACACACAGGGAGATAAGCCTCTCCCCGAATCATTGTTTCTACCGGAGTGGACATGTACCCGCCCCGCCGCCCTGCCCAGACCGCGCCGAGGCGCTCCTGCCTTGTGATTATGATCGCCGTCCGCAAGCGGGCGCGGCCGGCCCGCGGCATCGCGAGCAGCACGGATGGAGACGTCTTGCTGACGGGAGAGATAACGTGATTCTGTCTATCGGAGAAATTCCCATTCGTCATAACCTCGGAGTAGTACACTCGCTACAAAAACATAAACATGTCTGACACTTGCGTTATCAAGGAGGGGGGGGGATTCTTGGAAGTTGTAACCTGGTTTCATCGGTATTCTACTCAGTTGACAACAAGCGACTATCGCGTCCGATTGCCGAGATGTGAAGTGAACAAACGTTCGATCGACGGAACTTTAAACTAACAGCAATCGGAAAATGTCAACAATAAATCGTGGTAGTGCATCAATGCGTGCATTCAATTAACTTCTCCCTGAAACGCTAACTCTAATAACAGAAAATAAGACAATCAACCCGGCAAACACGATATCAATGGAAAGTTCATCGTCACCGCCATGGACTCCGATAAACTACTCAAACTCCTTTTCTCGTGACAGCGCTACAAAAAGTCAAATTGCCTGCCGCCGCGCCGGAGCGCTGCGAGCATCTGACCTCGAAAGCGCGCGTGCCCCACCCCCTGACTCACGTCCCACCCACTCGCGCTCTTCCCTCGGGCCCGCGAGCCGCCGCCTCCTCGAGCAACGGGGCCTTGCGGTTAGCGTTCAACGACCAGCGCGCGCCCCGGCGCCCTTCGTTTAATGGGCGTTTCCGCGCGCACTTTCTCCTGCGCGCCCCGATCGCGGCGATGGCAGCGGCGCGGCGCGGCGCGGGCGGCAGACCTGGCAGCGACGGGTCCAGTGGTGTCTGTGATGCGACATCGACTAGAAAATTTCGATGTTCAAAATTTGATGTTAATAAATATATACTGGTTTGGTTAACCTCTGACATTAAGTTCGTGGGCAACAAATATTAATTTGACAGTTCCCGAGCATTTTATTTTATAATTAGACTTTAACACACAAAAAAAGTTCAAAAATGCCTTTCCATGTGCGAAACGAAAGACGAAGGAAATTATCGATCATTATTTACTACCTATTACAAAATTCTGATAAGGGAATTTTTTATCCACGAACAAAACATCAAACACGTAAAATAATCGAGGACAAAACATTGATGCTAAAATAAACATCGAGTTTATTACATTGATGTATAACACATTGATATTTTTACAGAAACATCGATGTTTTGGAAACCTGGGCTACGACGCACCCCTAGTCTGTGGACCGTGGGGACGGCGGTAGCTGTTGGAGGCAGTGGCATTTTCAGTGCCCGTGCCTCCACCGCCCGCGCCCGTGGGAGGGCATGGACAACCCGCTCAGGGACGAACGCTTAGCGCGAGGAGCTACAAGGAACTGGGTTTGCGCTGTGGCTGGCGACCGTGCTGCAAAAGAAAGGGCGGTTCAATATCAATTGTATGGTATGAAGCACTCATATTTATTCATCATCTACTGCGTTTTTTAAATGCATCTTAATCTTCTTATTCCTCTTCGCCTCCTGCCAGCATTTACTGTTTTTTCTGAAGAAAATATCTTTGGAGGAATTTGACTGACGTCTTCATCGCATCTCACAATGGAACTAGTGGACTGATTTTTTAGATATCACAGTCCATCCTCATTTATTTATCCTTTTACAGGGCATGTCCATTCAGTAATCCACAGGCCCATTGCTACAGCAACATCACATCCAAAATCATCGCAAAAAAAATCTTGCAGTGACTGGAAGAAAAAGGGAATATTGTTTACATGATTTGTAGTGAAGTACCAAGTACATCGTCTAACTTCTTGTTCTTTCGAATGTTTTTGAACCACGTCGGAAGAATCAAAACGACGATGTGTTCTGAAGCCACCCTTAGTAGAGACAACGCATTTGGTTGCTGAGTGCGAAACATAAGTGGTTTGTATGCATTGCCCCACTGAAGGAACATTACCGAAGACTGCAATTGTCGACCAACACTCAGGACACCATGGGAAGTAGACAGCACGTCAAAACCGGAGTCAACGCTTACCTGTAAAGAAGAAACAAATGCTTAAAATACGTATGAAATGTCCTTCAGAGAAATGAAAGAACAAGAAACTTTTATTAATATAATTGAAAATAGTAAATTAGTCAATACATATAATACAACTCATTATTGTATTGTATGTTACTGCAGTCTCACTCCGCAATTTTCTCACTACAACCTGCCATATCTATGTGTGATTACATAAGAGTTCTCCGTTTTGTCTCAATCGCAATCTAATGCAAGAATTTGAAGATATGATACGTGCATTAAACCAACATTCTCGAATGCAGGTATTTTAAATATAACATCGTATATTAAAATCTAGGTCAGAAAATCTGAAGACGTAACTGTTAATCACACACAAATGTAATGGTAAAATATACAGGGAAAAGGAAAAGGCCAAAAGAGCAGGAAAGATCAATTAAAAAAATAACAAGATGATTCATAACTGATAATAAGGTTCGTTGAAAAAATGAGCTGTAAGGAAGTTTCTGTGGAGAATGAGGTGAGTGACATGATCTACGACCGAGTCGAAGACTTTGAGTAGCAATGCGAAATTATTCTGCGCGAAGAGTATATCCATTAATTCATTCCATTGCACTCCTCCCATTTCACAACTAAGAACTTATATTAACTCATAAGAACTCATTACATTAATTTAGCATCTTAAATGTTCAAAATATGCCAAAAAAGTTATTAATTAAATATTCGATAATTCAATCAAATAATTTTAATAATGCATGAGGGCAAATTATTATTAAAAGCTTTCATCGAATCAAAATATCGCTTAATCGAAAATCAGCTCGGTAAGTGGCTGCCTAATCGGAATACAGCAGAGCTCATAGTTGGCGAAGCAGAGTTGACATTACGAGCATCCCTTGCTCGTACAGCGCACGAAATAGTTCTAGCAAACAGTTAAACTGAGCGGAAAACTTTCGTCCCTCCATCCCATTAGAAAAACGAGCGCCGCCCCCACGAAACACTAGACCCGCAACAGCCCCGCATTTGTCCCGCGGCGTCGCCAACGACGAGAGCGGCTGGTACGGCCGCGAGGGGAAGGCAGAACGTTGATGCTTGGGCTCACATTAAGCTGTATCAGACCGCAGGAAATGGTTGTGATAATACGCAGTAGTAGCATGGCAGTACGTCAGAAGAAAAGGGAGTAATGGTTGGCACTGATAAAGACGTAATGTTAGTAACTAATGAAATGTAGTTAGTGACTGAATAAGAAAAAAGGCAAATAAAAAGATAAAAATCATGAAAAAATATATTATTGGAGACAAATGTGAGAGAAGATAAGAACTGCAATGAAAAATATAGTAAGCGGGGCGGATGTGATGTCAAAGAGCTTAATAAAATTGAGTAATATAGGAGAAGGAAGAATAGAAAGAAAATGATAAAAGTACGGAACTGAGACCAAAAGAGTAATATAAGAATGATGACAGGAAAAACAGGAACGTCACGAAATAGTGACGAGAAGATATGATCAAGTGAACACAAAACGAAGGCGAAATGCTAGCTACAAAAGAATGGCAATCACTATCACAAGATGCGACCGAAAAGCGACGGGAGTGAGTGGCGGAAACACGAGTGGCGATACCGGAAGCACTGTCGCGACAACAAACCGACAGCGCCTTCTGCGGGACGGGGGAAAGCAACATCGGCGTCCTCGGCCCAACCGGAAGCCGGCGGGCGGTCTCTCTACAGGCAGTGGCACCAGCTACTGTGGCGGCTGCAGCGGGGGCGGTGCGGCAGCGGTTTATCGCAGGGCCCCGGGCAACCGCGAACGCTCCGCCCCCGACGCCGCGCCGCCCCGCCCCGCCGGACAAACAGGTCCCAATATTGCCCGACTCCAATTAGCGACGGCAGTGCCCTCCCGCGGAGACTCACTTAACGAAGCGGCCTGGCCCGGTCCGCCGTTATCGGGGCCCATCACCGCAACGTCGCCGCAGACGACGCGCCCGCCAAACAACGCGGGGTTTTCCGCCCCCGCCCGCCCCACCGCGACGCGCCGCGCCACGCCATCCCCACGGCGGCAGCTGACCAGACGCCCCGGCGAAAGCGGAAAACAATCATCCCGCAGGAGACTGAATGCAGGAGAGAGCCGGTCTGCACGCTCGTAGAAGCCACCTGCTGCTAATAAAACTCAAAAATGGGCCGAAGAAAAGTAAATAGCTATTTTTATCGCAGCAGGAGCGCGGTTATGCGATACCCGGTAATGTCTAGGACTGTAGGAGGAACGAAAATAAACGTTTTACTAACAGATGTTGAAATGAAACGACTGTACGAAGAAAGGCGTGACCTCACACGAAGAGACACGAACAATCACAAACAGTACAAATATAAAAGAAGATTGTACTACATTTAACGGGGTGGAAAAGATGAAGAAATTGAGAAGTCACAGGACACTCAACATAATTAAAATGAATCATGGAATTCTGTTGTTTACTCTTGAGCTCGAGAAGAAACGGGTCTTTCTAAATGCAGAATTCGATGTTAATGTAAAACTATAGTATAGTCTCTTTTAATGAATCCATTAATCAAATGAGTATTCTTATTTTGAGCACTTTCAGACATAAAAGGTCATACTTCTCTACTTATATTTATGGTTTTTGTTCATCTCTCCCCAGTAATGTTCGGCTAAAGAGTTTCCCCAGATGAGGACATATTCAAATTCACTCCCCAAAACCTGTACTTCTACCAGCCATCTACTCCATACTTTTAATATCAAGTGTATTGAACAGGATCAACAGTCGCGAGGTAACCATAACATGAATAACAACCATAAAATAAGTGGAAAGCCTTTATATAAGAAACATGGCAGCATTTTCCCACCGAGAGTACTAGATATTTTTTACACAAGCTATAATGCAGAGCAGAATGGACGCGAAATTTCACGAGAAAGAAAAAAACAGCGCATGTGCAGCGAAAACAGATCAATTGGGACGGAAATAAAGAACAACGCGAAACGTAAATCTCGCTTTTATAAACGCCCGCTGACGTCTGCTACGGACTGGCACGACATTTATTTGTATCGTGCCTTAAACGCTTCCAGGTTTGATGCTCCGCAAAACAATGACCGAAATCGATGTTGGCTTTAATGACGCGTGAAAGACGACGCAAAAACACGCAATGGCCCGAAACGCTTTATCACGATCGAAGAAGTTGTCGAATCGCAAATGACACGGAATATGACGCACTCAATGGTTTTACAACTAAATCATGTTTGGGGGAGCACGTCTTGGTCTTGGTAGAATGTTTCACAATTGCAGGTTGGCATCCGATTTGCCTGCAATATACTCCTAGATATTATTATTACTATTTTTATTACTATTATTATTATTATATTATTATTATTATTCTTATTATTATTATTATTATTATTATCATCATCATCATCATCATCCATACATACCATTGCAGGGTAAGGCCTCTCACTCAATGATGGGAGGTTCCTATTAATAGTACATGCAATTATGTTCTTGAATTTTATGACGAGTACCACTATATTCGACGTAGAATGAAAGTAAATTTCATTTTGAATTTGAGAGTGTACACACATTTTTAAAATTATTCTTCTGAGACAATGTTACTAGGTACGCATTGGAGAAGCAAAATCACTTTCAAAACGTTTCCACAAACTTTCTCTAAGATTTCGAAAAGAAAGTTCAAATTAGGAACTCATTCACTTCATCTGTTTTCCAGTTCAAGAACTGGTTTTTAGTTTTACACACACACACACACACACACACACACACACGCATTCAATGTTAATTTAAACTGCACAACTATTTTCTTATCACCAGCATAATTTAGAACACACATTTCAATACAATGACATCAACAAGTTTGAAAGAGACCGCGAGGACAACGAACAGTGAAGTATGCAAAAAGCTAAGCATTTTCGTAGCACGCGCAACCGTTGCTGACGTTCGCCCTATCTTTTTGCCACCGAAGGCTGACGCAGCGCGTGTTTCCAACATGGCTGCCGCCGATACTCGGGGCGTCAGCCATCGCGGTATATCGCCGCCTGAAACTTCACGCGCACGTTTTCGGCAATTAGTACTTTTTCCTACTCGTCTCGTGGCTTATCGCCCGCGTTACTTTCCTCGGGAGCTTTCAGCATAAAAGCACCACACCGCCGGGAGGTGCCACCCGCCCCGCCGCCGCCGCCCGCTCCCCTCCACCCCCTTCTTCGGCCCAGTAGCTCGACTCCATCCCACAGGACCGCGCCAGGGTAAATAAAAAGAAATAAACGGAAAAACTAACTTCTCCAATAAAATAGGTTTGGGGCTCTTAAAAAAGTTTCCCGCATGGTCGGTGGCGCGTGGTTTCTCGGGCGGCGGCGGCGGAGCGGGGTTGGAGCTGCGACGAGTGGCGGTGGAGGGAAGTCGAGGGGGAAGCTGCGGTTCTGTAAATGTAATTACCGCGCACGCTCTCTGGAGTAAGTTTAAAGATGTTCCGAGTCGCCAGGTGCCCGCCCCCGGAGCTCGTTTCCGCCGGCTCTCCCCGGTGTAGTCCGGAACGTGACGGCGGAGCGTCAGTTTCTCGCTCCGGTTGCTCGGGTCGTGACGGGCGACGACCGACCTGCTCGCGGCAATCACTGCGACGTTCGCTTTTGTTGCGACTAATTGGGAAACTTGCTTCAGTGATCCGACTGTAGATAGCTGATGAAAGGCTTCCTTCCTACATGGATTTTAGAAATAATCACTTTCTGAAAAGATCAGGACTTATTGGGTTCGGAGAGATATTTCAAATTGTATTTACCGAGTTTAAATTCAGAGCCAAGCAGTTTTGACCGGTGTAGATGCGCAAAAATTAAAGGCTATCATTATCCCTCTCAAAATTAAAGAGTCGTAAATTAAGAGTACATCATTGCCGACCTGAACAACAGGAACCACTAATAAGGTCACAGGTAAGGTAACAACACTCGTAAGGTCATGTGTTCAAGTCACACGGACCCCAAACATTCGCGGTTCTTCAATTAACTTTCATTGCCCACAATTCATCTCTACAATATTCAACTGAAGTCTCAGTCTCAAGAAGGCACACAATCATTAGCTCTTTAATTTGGAACGTAGAGACGTCTTCCACAGCACCGTAATGGGCATCCAACATGTGGCGAAAGTAGCGCCACCTCCCATTAGCAAGTAACGAACGCATTTCAATCGCGCAGCTTGTGCCCTCCCTCTTCGGCGCTTTAGACGACGCGGGCGAAGCCCACAACGATGTTCCGGCGGCGCGGCGGTGCCCGGGCGGAGACGTCACGGGGAGACACGCCTAATGAGGCGAGCCCCCGTCCCGTCCCGTCCCGTCCCACGGACGCGCCGAGGTGAGCGTGTCACATGCACCTGCCGGCACATTCGCCCAAGAACGCCTGCCCTCGCATGGATGTGACGTGCGAGGACAAGGATCAGCGTGGAGACACTTCAATCCTTCATACGAATCGCTGCGAAGTCAAGGGAACGACGCACTGCCAAATAAACCAAATTCTATTTCAAAAGAAGATGCGTGTTGAATATATTATAATTCATTTGAATATATATATTTCAATTTCATAAAATCGTTACTGTGCAGCGTAACAATTTGATAAAATACGTCGTATTTTGTGCGACGTATGGTATTGACGTAAACGCCCGCTAATACATTTCCAGACAGCTTATGCACTAATGGTTAGGTTCTCGAAAAGTGCGACGTGACTTGGCGGTGTGTCACGAGCGAAAATAATACAGAAAGGATTAACATATATAACAAATAAGGCAAAGACACACGTAGCGATTACTGCTGAAGTGGTAGCCACTTCATGCACAAACGTTGAAGAAAAAAAGGAAAAGCAATTGGAGGTCCCCCCATTTGCTTCGAACTTGCAGAACGTGAAGTGTATGTTGTCTAGAGGCAAGGAAAAAGAAGACACTTCTCTTTTCTCCTATTATGTATAAAGAATAATTTGAAAACATCATAATAATATTGAAATTACAAAAGTGTTTCATGAACTGGTTCTTTTTTATTTAAAAGTGTCTCAAAAATGTTCTGATAGGTAGAATAACGACTGACCATTACTGAGAGAATGTCCATAAAGAAACTTTCGCAATTTTGAAGTGGTCACAACTGGAAGAAAATCGGGGTTTAGAAATAAATTAATAAAATAACTGAACACTTTAAAAAAAACAATTATAGACAATGGTCTCTCTTCAGAAAGAGGTGTACTTATCACTCACTGAGTTTTACAAAAATAATATAATATTGTATTCTTAGAATTTTAACAAAATTACAAACACACTTAACTGTGGCCACTTCTGGTGCTTTACCCACGTAAGACTCTTAGATACTTAAGTAATGTTATTTATTAATTCTGAGGATTGAAAACTACACTACTGCTTTATTAAATAAACAATAAAATTTCTCTGTACGTAATATTGTTGAAATATAATGAGAAATGTACACGTGTTTTCTGTAGCACAAAATTTCAATACGGGGAGATTTTCCGATTTCCAGATAATTATTCGTCCACAGTTGAAAGCTGTGTTTTTTTTTAATTTTTTTACTTGTAATTTGAGCCAATAGTAAACATGTCACGTTCAAAGTCTGCTTTGTCGGAATCTCAAATAGAATAGGGAGTAACTTCCGATGGTTTGACGTCAAAATGCTGACAAGAAAATTG